TTGTTCCCTATTGTACCTGTGTGTGTTGTAAAGTAACCACCACTCTAAGCTCACTCCCATGATGGACTACAATCTCATGTTTAGTTTACTAATTTGTATTCAAATTATACTCCATCGTGGGAATGCTATTGGAGCGGTGACTACTTAACAACACACAGGGACCATAGGATACAAAAATAGCCTCCAGAAGGAAGGACAGTGTCAGCAGCAATTCAGAGATGGTTCGAGGATCTACAGCCAAGTGATAAACAAATAAGCCTCATTGTTGTTTATATCTAAGGAATGTGAATCCATTTTTAAGATTTAACTCCTGAGTTTAGTGTCACTTTAAGAAATAACCTCCTTGATAGGTCTCCTTGATAGTTGATAGGCCTAAAGTACACTATAAACAAAGGAACACGGAGGGCGCAAAAACACAGAAATGGAGCACTAGCGGGTTGGATTGGGGTGTGTATTACAAAAATTGTACTGCTAAGGAATTGTTGGCAGAGAATGAATGTAATGGTACTTACATCAGCTGACAGATCCCGGGTGATCGGCTTAGTGAAGGGACGGGGGTCTAGTGGATGGGGATGAGCAAGAGCGATGCGTTTCGAGGTGTTTAACCTCTTTTTCAAGCTCGACTGTTCTACTCGAGCTTGAAAAAGAGGTTAAACACCTCGAAACGCGTCGCTCTTGCTCACCCCATCTACTACACCCCTGTCCCTTCACTAAGCCGATCACGCGGGATCTGTCAGCTGCGCTTGCATACCGACTCCTGCACACCGCCCTCAGCTGACTTGACACAGACTGAGTGCCGTCCCTCACTACCGTGGTCACAGTAGCTCAGCTTGGGCTCGCTACTTTTGGGTTCCTCTTGACTCTCCATCACACTGCCCAGAGTCAACACCCCTTCAGCAACATCACAGACAGAGTCACCTCTCTCCTTCCACAGCATCTCTCCCTGGTAGACGAATCCTCCCAAACAGCACATCAACAGACACCACGAGAGTCCCGATCCTCCGCACAGGCCGCCTACATCCTGATTCCTGGATTCACATGTAAGTACCATTACATTCATTCTCTGCCAACAATTCCTTAGCAGTACAATTTTTGTAATACACACCCCAGTCCAACCCGCTAGTGCTCCATTTCTGTGTTTTTGCGCCCTCCGTGTTCCTTTGTTTATCTGCATCTACAGGTACTCCTCCTGTCTCCAGGGCAGCATACATGTACGCTAGCTAGCATTCCCCATCCGAGAGCGCTGTCTATGTTTTTCTGCTAAAGTATACTATATGGCCAAAAGCCTGTGATTACACCTGTATGAGCTTGTTGGACACCCCATGCCATGCATTAAAGTGAACCCGTGCCCAGACTGTGCACACTTAAGTATTCTACTGTGCATATTCTAAATATAAGTAAACACATTATAAAACAAGCCTATGCTCAGCATCGGGAAATCTAGTCTGAGAAATCCCATGCACCCATCACTGGAGTGCATGCATGTAAACAGGAGATGGCAAAATGACTACAGGTGACTGGCTGCACTAAGATGCAATGAAAGTGAAAATAAGTATTTTTTTACATAAAGGACATCGTTTATGATACACAGTGCTGTAGCAATTTAAATCTTATTAAGTTAGGGTTTACATTTACTATAATTATATAAACTTGAATGTGATTAAACTTGAGTAAAATTCAAAAGCAGGCTTTAAAGGTCTTAGTTTTAGTAGTTATGGGAAGATGGGGAGGAAAAAGGATAAACAATGTTTCCAACTGCTAATGTGAAAGTCTTTCTAACTGCCTTTTGAAAGGACTACTGTGCAGAAAGCATGGTCCACAGAATGCTGGTTAAAATTGTTACTGCCCCTGCTGGTAATAAAGCATCATGCTGTCTACTGGGTGATTATCAGAGAACTGCTGCTTCTGCGCATGCGCCAAGCCGGGCTTCCCGTAATGGGCCTGCACGCATGCGCGAGCCAAGGATTGTCCGCAGAAAAACGTGCCAAAAGGCGCACAGGAAGTGGCGCTCTCCAGATCATTTCTTCCCTATTTAAACCCAGACTCCACACCTACTCATTGCTGGATTGTCTCTTCAACCGCCCTGATGTCTCCTGATCCTTGTTTCCAGTACCTTTTGATTATTGACCCGGATTGACTTTGACCTTGTTTGCCTGCCTCTGACCTCAGAACGTTGTGACCATTCTTGCTTGCCTATACCTTTGACCTCGGATTGCTTACTGGACTGCCTACGCCTTCTCCTTTTGTACCTGCTCTGCCTGCTCGGTGTGACCTAGGTCGAAATTAATCGATGACAAATTTTTTCGATTAATCGAACACAAAATTTTTAATCATTAACAGCCTTACTATTTGTGTATGTAATGTGCCTTCTGTTTACATTCGTTCTGTAATTACATTCGGTAAATTATTAATCTCTTACCCTTATTTGTCACTACCAAAAAGATCAGATAAGCCAAGCCTGTAAAACCATCAAAGCAAAAAAAAAAATTTGTAGCAAGCAAAACCCAAGTGTAAACAGTAATCCAATCCTGCATTTAGCGTTTATAGCTTTCTTTTGTCACCAGTGATGTATAAAAACACTTCTAACACCAATTACAACATTCCAAACCCTAACAATTTGCCTCTAGAAGTGGCAGGTACTGGATTTAATCTGCAAAACTTCAATGAACATGAAATATGGAGAATATAGATAGCTGAGATTTTGTATCAGGATATCAGAGCAGTTCACATTAACCACTTTTTTAGTCAGTTAACTCATAGAAGCATGGATAACTTTGCACAGGCATGCCAATTTGCATTAAATGTGTTTTTATTGTTTTTACTATGTTTTGCAGTGGTTGTCAACTTATGAAGTATAGGTGGCAACAGTTACTGCCCCTGACATCACCATTATGCACATAATGCTCAGTATATATAATGCTTGAAAGGACTGTCAGAGACTGCAGACATACTAGAGGAAAGGAGATAGTCACAGACTGTAAACATGCTACAGGTGTTGTTGGAGACTGGAAAAATGCTGTTGAAGACAGATAGGCACTGGGGACCTTTTACATGAGGCTATTAGCGCTCACTGTTATTTCTCCTTTACAAATGAATGCTTCCCATTCCCACCACAGGCACTCGGGTCCAAGGACTGCACAACAAGTACCAAAGGGTCACACATGGCCCTCGGTCACAGAAATTGTGTTTAAATCATATTTGATAAATTATATGGTGGTATTGCAGATTTCTACCTCTCATATGCCACACACACACCCTTCAGCTCTGTTACCAAAGCTAAGATGCAGAAATTGAGCTGGTTCTCCATTGCTTGGCAAACCCCCATAAACTCCTCTCCTACTAACCTCCTCTTATTTCTTTCTCTGTCTGTAATGATTCTCACAACCCTTTGTTTTAGTGATGTCAAAAGTAGATCTTCCCTAAGTAATTAAAGGTTTGAGTAAATTTTGGTGGAGCATGAAAAATAAAAACCTTCCTTATTTTTAACTGTTCCGTTCCAATGGCTGTAAAAACTGCAGAAAACCAAGCAAATCAGCACTTTTACACAGCCAGTGACTCAGTGGGGGTGATTTACTAACCTAAACACACGCACGCACCAGGTGCGTGTGATTTTCACACAGCAAAACGTATTTATCAACCAAAAAGTCTCAAAGCATATTTCCACTAATGCCATATATGGAAAAATCATGCACATGATGCATATATAATGCTGCTTCACAGTTTAGACAAAAATGGTTAGCTCATGCATTTACATTCCTGCATTCATCAACGCAAGCAACACAACATAGAGCTAATTTACACAACATCACCTTGCAATTCATGCTTGGCTTTGCACAACACACCTGCTGGGTGTGTACACACTACAAAGGTGTTTAGATTCCACCCATAGATCATGCTGGGAGGGAACACACTACAGAGGTGTATACATGTTCATGGTGTGTTTATAAGGTTAGTAAATCAACCCCAGGATCTCCCACTTTAATTATGTAACTGGTATACATAAACATCTTAGTTGTATCAAGAGCACATCTGCTGGAAGTACCTCATGTAAAGATGATTTATAATGTCTAGATAACTTTACCAAGCTACCAGACCAGTCCATGATAGGAGTCTGGATAGGGCATGATTGACTTTAATACCCGCCTATTAAAACCAGAGAAAAAGGTATTTTTCTTAATACAAGTATAAATGTACAACTAGTTAAAGCTATTTGATTTTTCATTTGTTTTCTTTTATTTATTATGGTGAGGGCAAAAAAAAAGCTAAAAAATATTTTTCTTTATTGCATTTGAATGCTTTTTAGTCATTTATTTGGTTGACTGTTTGCATTTTAAGTTTCTTGTAATATATTTCACCTGATTGAAAAGTCTGTTGTTTACAGAGTTCAAAAGCTCCAGCTGAAATTCTTGCACACAGTTGATTGAGTCAGAGGGGAGAGGCAGCCTTCATTGGAAAGCTCTGTTTAAGATTTCAATCAAGGCACGCCTCCAGTTTTGCTATTTGGTTTGCCCATAGTGCTCTGGAATCCTTTGTCATGTACTGCATTTTATTTGTACAACAAAGATTATACACATATAGTAAAACACAGATATAAAGAATCAGTTTAAATATGGAAAAAAGAAAAAAAAATTGACCCAAGCCATAGTTTCCTTTTAAAACAGAACAGCAATTATTGCATTAAGTTTCTAAATATAGGTATCCTACATATTCCTGTATCTGCCCTTAGTCCAGGAAATTGAATTTTCTGAGCATCAGTGACTGGCAAAGTAACAATTCTTATAATACAATAGCCTGACATATAATCATATCTGAAGCTGGAGGCATCATTAATATTTTGCATTTAGTAGTTAACCTTTAGCTACTTTTGGGAACATATGTGGCTGTTTATCTAAACCCAGAATGAGGTGAACAGTTTAAAAGATAATAGAGATGTCAACCACAAGAAATTAGAATATGTGATGTTTACATCTAACCTGTGTACTCCATGTGTTCCTTTTCAGCTGCCATGCAAAATTGTAGCAATATTGCTACACTTCTTCTTTCTAAGTGCTTTTGCGTGGATGCTGGTGGAAGGATTGCATCTCTACAGCATGGTGATCAAGGTGTTCGGTTCAGAGGAGAGCAAGCATCTTTACTATTATGGAATCGGATGGGGTACGTGCATATTTATGTTATACTAACTGATGTTAAAGTGTAAATCTAGCATTGGAGAGAGGGGAGAAGGATTAGAGCTACTGTCAGGTTTTATTTCTATCCAGTGCTCTGTTAAAAAGCTGAAAACAATTTCATCAGACAGGAAGTGAGGAAACATCTACCAAGGGACGCAGACAGCAGTATAAAACTTACAGGTGTTCCAGCCTGCCCTATTCTGCCCTGTTCTATTTGATATTTACCCTCATTTTCTGTCTGGTGAAACAGTTTTTAGATGGACAGTAAGTGATGGGAAATCTTTATAGCAGAGCACCAGACAGCAGTAGGAACTGACTGGTTCTAATTTTTCCCCACTCTATCTTTGCAGTATAACCACAGTCATGACTGATATTCTATAGAGTTTCTCAATAACTAGTCACTGCTTGAGACATTTTCCAGTGTAGTAATAATCCATAATTGCCTATAGATTCATTAATTAACCTCCCTGGCGGTATGATTATGTCAGGAATTTTGTACCAAAAGCGGTACAATTTTTTGCATGGAAATTTGTTGTTTATATTGTAGGCCTGTAATTCTTAGTAAATCTTAGGAATAACTCACCTAAATCTGTCCAAACAAGAGTCCAGTAGACATCCCAGGTATGATAAAGTTTGAAACACGAAATTAAAAAATTATAATATAATAAATTATTAATAATTATAAAAAATTATAATATAATAAATAATTATAAATAATTATAAAAAATGATAATATAATAATTTAAAAAAATGGTCCAGTAAATGGGAATTCTGGGGGCGCAGCCTGATCCGTACCACAGTCAATAGAGTACCAAGTTCGCACATCACTGAGCTCGGTCGCAGAATCGTCGCTGTTTTAGGTCAAAAGCGGTTTTAGACCAGGTAGAAAACAGCGATAGTAAATTAGAACTACTTGCAGAATTGAGTGATAGCGATTCGTTGGGAAATTCCTCAACAGACACTGAAAGTGAGGACAGCGAGGATTCTGCGACCGAGCTCAGTGATGTGCGAACTTGGTACTTTATTTACTGTGGTACGGATCAGGCAACGACCCCAGAATTCCCATTTACTGGACCATTTTTTAAATTATTTTATTATAATTTTTTATAATTATTTATTATATTATAATTTCTTATAATTGTGAAAAAGTGTCAGGCAGGGCACTGGACAAAGCTCTAGGGACAAAATTGAAGAGAAATAGTTTGATATATAAGTGTAATCATAGCAGATTACATTGTATTGTGTGTATTCTGTGTATATTGCAACTTTTCACTTTTGAATTTCCCGCCGGCTGTGACGCTCAGACGAAAATAAAAGTCAGATGCCGGCTTTTAGTTTCATTTTCGAGCCGCGTACAGCAGAGGATGCCACGGGATCGCAGGGACAAGGTGAGTCACTTTTCTGTGCAGCCCCGAGTCTGGCTCGGGGTTACCGCTCCTAGCATTGAAAATTCACCCCGAGCCAGACTCGGGATTACCGCCAGGGAGGTTAATAGACATGTGCACTGCCAAAAAATTTGTTTAGTTTCGTTTCGATTTAAATTCGGATTTGTGTTTATTTTGTTTTTCGGGATTCGGGTGTGAAAGTCAATTCGGATTCGGAATTCGGTTTCGGACGAAATTCGGTAGCGGTAGTTCGAACGTTCGTTTCGTTTTCTGTTCTTATTCGTTTCTTATTCGTTTCCTATTAGTTTCTTATTAGTTTCTTATTCGTTTCATTAGTTCGTTTGCAGCAAAGTGACATTTGAGGGGGAAAAAATATTTTTCTCCTTCTCTAATGTCACTTTGCTTCAACGAACGAAACGAATAAGAACCGAAAACGAAACGAACGTTCGAACTACCGCTACCGAATTTCGGAAATGGAAATTCGGATTCGTTTGCATTCGTTACGTCTGTAATTCGGAATTCGGATACATCCAAATGTCCGAATTTCCGAAAATTCGTCCGAATTTCCGAAAATTCGGCCGAATTTCGATTCGGAACGAAACGAATCGCACATGTCTATTAATTAATCTTTGGGTAATTACAGGTCATTACTGCATTGGGAAATGCTCACTCTTTACTCAATGCAGCAAGTTTATGCTGATATATTTATTATAAAACATTCTAGAAAATAAATCAATTATTTGGTGCGAACATCTAAACATTTCAGATAACAAACTTATCAGAATAAGAGCAAACCTGTCTTGTTCTAAGTTGAAGGCATTCTCAAATTGTTTATAAATCCTGTATCTGTATCAGTTGAAACATAACTGCTATATTGATTTAGCTATGTGGAAAAAATTACAAAGCTCTATGGTACAGCAATGCAATTGTGCCTGTCTATTACCAACATCTCATGCACACTGGTGCCATAATTTCAGAAACATACTTCAACGGTACAGAATTATTGAGGGAGCAGTGGTATAGCTCAGCATGTAAGTATTATGGATAAGCTCCAAATACACGTCTGACTCTATATAGCACAATGGGTAGTTATGGCTGATCCAGAGTAAAGATGTATCAAGCCCCTCCATTGTTTCCTCCATTCAACCCTAGGCTGCTGCAGTTTTTTATATGAATCCTAATTAGCAGCACAGCTTTCTTCTTTTAGCTGAAGCATACCAGCTATATGGTGAAAATAAATTACAAAGAAATTACAAAGCTCTAAGGAGCAGTAATGAGACTGTGCCTGTTTGAAACATAGTACCAGCATCTTATTCACACTATTATCATAATTCCAGAAACAGAATTGAATGGTGCAGAATAAATGAGTCAGTGGTATGGCTAAGTATGTAAATATTATGGATTAGCTCCAACTACTAGTTTTACTGTATGGAGCACAATAAGTAGTCATGTGTCAAGCCCAACCATTGTTTCATCCATTCAATCCTAAGCTGCTGCAGTATCTGATATGCATCTTAATTATTTACACACACACACAAAATGTGCTGTATTTATTTAAAGCAGTGGTGGTAAACTTTCTTAATATACAGGGCCTCATCTGTTCTTGACATCACCAAATGGCACCAAAAACTATGAGAGATTGTAAACGTAGGTTTAAAAAACTGTAGAACCTTCCAAAGAACTTCAAACTTTATTCCACATGCATCTGTACAAAGAACAAGTGCTGATGTGTTTCTGCCTTACTCAGCTTTAGTTATAGCTGGTTGTGATCCAACACCAACCCCACTAAAATAGCACGCTGCGAAGGGCAGGGGGAAACACTTAGGAGCACTGGTATCTAATAAACAGTCCATGTAATTACATTAAAAACAAAGTAGAGGAAAAGAGGAGAATACACACTTCAGAATTATGGGTGAACATTATCAAAATCAAACATTAAATAGTAAAACCCATAATAACAGACCACTAACACTAACATCAACATATTATGACAATCAATAATTGTATAAAACTAGTGACCCACCGATAAGTTCCAGTGGAATCTAAAATGACAAATAAATAAGAGATCCACAGGACATTTGATACATGTGATATTTCTCTCAGCAAGATCCATTACAAAAGATCAGAGCAAAAAACTAAACAAAAAAAAAATCCACAAAATGAGAAAAGGGAATGAATAGCAACGTCAAATAACATGAAAGAAATAAAACAAGCCAGTTAACTACTAGAATGGAGTCTAAAGAAGAAAAGTTTCCTTTGCTGCCTTGAGTAAGCACCTAGGTAAGGAAAACAGACTACTGTCTGAAGGGGCCAGAGAACCACACAATTGCCAATCAATTGCCACATTTAAGTACCAAACGTCCATGTCAGCTACAAGTGGAACCAAGGAGAACTGAGTCCTGGATTACTATAACAGCTCAATCTTGAGCTGCTAGATGATTTCACTCAACAATAGCTGTTCCTGCATTTTTTTTCTGCATTCTCGTTATAAAAAATAAACTAAAATAGTTTTGGGTAGAGGAAACTAAACAATTTCCCAACAATTTCCTATAGTCTACAAGATCACCTTCTCCCTAACCCACCTTCCAATTACTCAAATGTTAATTAGAATGTATTTACATCACAAGAATATATTGGTTTAATTATGTATTCACACTGAAGATGCCCAGGTCACTTTTGCTAGGGATTATAAATAACATTACATTAATTTAGTATAATATTCACACTTAAATAGTTTGCATACTATTCTAATAATATGTATTATACTTTAGAAGATCAAAAAGTCAAATGTAATAGCAAAACTTTTTAAAGCAGAGGGTGAAAGCTACATGTTTTACATTCAAAGGCCTAAAGCAGCAACAAAAATGAATTTTAGCTATGTTGAACGTGGTTGTTCAATATTTCAGAGAGTGGTAGTAAAGTGAAGATACCCTATTTCCTTTCTCATCTAATTACATAAACCTCAAAAGGGTGGCTTGAAGTAATTAAAATATTACTTCATGCTAACAAAGACAGTAGCTAAGCTCTGGTAGTTATTGTAATTAGCTGATTCTGTAGAAACAGTTGTTGCCAATGAGTGCTATTAATCTAGGGAATATTCAGCATTCAGATTGATAAGTCACAATTTGCCATTGGAATAATGAAACAGTACATGGCTAATCTTGATTTGTTGATCTGCTTGTACTGCAAAGACATCAATTATTCACCTGACTTGCCATAGTTCACTTAAGTACATCCCAGCCTTAGCGATTCTCTTGTGTATGTTCAAAAATCAAAGAGATGTCAGTAACACATTAAAGTCAGCAATTGTCATTTATAAGCCACTCAATCTTTTGTGATTCTGACGAAGTTGTGCAGGTACAAGATAACTGGACAATTGATGCTAGCCTGAGTACTGCTACCTTCTCCAAGTATATTGGTGTATTGTGAATTGATTCATCAATCTCTAATCCACTTAAGGTATATGGAGTGCAGAGGGAATTATGTTTTGCGTTGTGTTTTGAATTCATAGTTTCTTCATAGTTTCTTTAATTTTTTTATTAAATATGTTATTAATTTTAAACATTTAAAAGTCTGCCCTAAATCAGTCACTACAAGTTAC